AGGACAGGTTATTTCCAATTAAATTAACGAAGGTAAAAACGAAGAATAGCAGAATGGCAAGAAAAAGTGACTTAATCAAGGATTCTTTTTCCCAGTTGCGTCACTTTTACTTTCCAAGTGATCTCCCGCCTGCCCTGCCATCCACTTCAGCAACGGGCCCCACAGGGACGGTGAGGGTGTCAGTCCTCTCGGCAGCGAGGGCGGAACTTTGTTCAGCATCGGCGCATCACCGTGTTTTGTGGTTTTTAAAAAAGCTCTGGGAAACCCCGGAATCGGGGCTAACAATGCCTCTCCTAGCCAGAGCCAGACATTGCTGTGTCGCTTAAGTCGTTGTCATTGTTGAAGTCCCTTTAAACGAGTAAATGGAGCTTGCTGTTTCAGACACACATACACATTCTTGCGAAAATGTGGAGAGAGTACACCAGATTTTATATATATATATATGTATATATATGATCTGTCCAGAAAGTATACAGCCACGTAATATGAAAAATAGAGACATTTATTGAAGAAGATAGAAGAAACATTTTACATAGGATGCCTCGGTCCCCTTCAAAGCAGACACCCCGGGACCTCTCACAGTTCTCCCAGTCGCCGTCAGCGGCCCCGTCGTATTTTCCTGAATCTCACCGGTGATCTGAAATCTCTTCTCTTTCAAAGGTGATTGTAGTTTTGGGAAAAGACAGAAGTTGCGGGGTGCTGGATCTGGGCTGTAGGGGGCTGAGCCACCTGGGTAACTTGAAAACATTTCACAGAAAAACCCTGCATGAGATGTGATGTGTGAGCGTGCACATTGTCGTGATGAAGCTGCCAATCGCCATTTGCCCAGAGCTGCTCCTTCTGAATCATCTGAATAGTTTCTCCAGAGGAATGTTCAAGCTTAATGCAAAATCTGATGCAGTTTTGTTGCTCTACTCATTCAGTCATTTTGAATGCAGCAGCCACACAGTACACATGTTCACTCAATGGCATCTACCAGCCCACTGACTAGTACAGTGAAGTGGTCATTGTTCACACTTGCTCATTCCTGTCTGCTCTCCTTGGCTGCCAGGTTACATCGATGTCATGCAAACTGTTTTCCTTATATTAACAATGGCTCAACTTTTCGCAGACAGACCTTGCATATAGATTAAATCCTAGTCTATAGGCACAGATAGCTTTGAAAACTGAGAATGAACTATAGCTATCATTCTGTAGTTGTCACTTTTCTCCTCAGTGTCCTCATGCCTAGAACTATGCGAAGTGCATCTCAGAGAAAGACCAACCCCCTGGACCCCTCTGAGGAACGTTTTGTGTGCTGTACCCTCTCGGAGGCTTACAGCGCCTTGTGTGTGTGAAGGCGCCGATCAGTCCTGCAGCAGTGAAGACTGCTTGCATGTGTCTAACCTAAGTTCCCCTCCTTTCTTTTTGACTTAGGAATGCTTTTATACAATGTTTGAGAGTCCCCTTTGAGAACATTGCTCCAGGAATCTTTGCTTGTAGGAACGCCAACCATGCTTTGCTAAAGGAACCCCAGCTGGGCTTTCAGTCTGCCATTTCTCACAGAAAGATCTGGAACTAGGGGGAGGAGGCCTTGCTCTCCTTGCCGGCAGCCCTTTGGTCCAGGGGAAGGGCTGCCTGGGGACCTCTGGGCAGGGGGTCTGGGGCTGACTGCACTGCGTAAAGCAAGTCTAGAATCACGCAGGAGCCCTCGGGGGTGGGGAGGAAAGAGGGGCTTGGTGGGACAGTGCCTTGGGTTCAAGAGCCGGAGCAGAATGGACCCAGGCATGACATTAAGACTCCATTTCTCTCCAAAAACGTTTTTCATGGACACGTTGGACTCGGGGACTGTTCCTGCGGCTGGAGAGCCGAAGCCTTGGTCTACGGCACCACCCATATATTACCTCAAAGATTCTCCGTTGGGAGGACCTGCAGGGAGGTTCCTGCGCTGCCGGTGGTGCTCAGGCTGGACCCCCCTCACGCGACTCCCAGCCCCAGGGGGACATGCCCAGCCCCCTATCTCCTCAGGGAAGCCCTGGGCTGGTGACAGACCTCTGTGCAGCAGCTGAGCTACCTCTGTGCAGCAGCTGAGCTCTCTGTGCAGAGCATGGCTTGCTCTTCTGTAGCCAGGAGCCCCTCCCTACTTCATTTTTTTTTTTTGGTTTTTTTTTTTGCAAGTAGAGTAGCAGTCTCCAGAGACCCCCGCTTTCCACTTTGTCTCTTCATCCTGTGTGCCTTCGCCAGGAGGGTCGGAGAGCCTGTTGCATTTCCAAACGGGGACCTCAGCACCTCGGCATGCCTGGGCGGCCGTGGACAGGCCAGCCGCTTTCACAGCGATGCCCGTGGCTGCGTAGCCGCCACCCACCTCCCCGGCTGCCCGCCATGTGGACTATTGTTCACATGCAGGAGTCCACAGAGGCTGGAAGTGATTTCAGAAAAACGAGAGTGTTGACCCAGGCACATGACTCGATCATCCCAAGAGCACATTGGAGGCAAACGCCCTGTGCGTGTCATAGCTCGCCTGGCCGGCACAGGGATCGCAGCTTGATTTCTGGAGAGGTTATTAGTCCAAGGGAGACCCCTCCACTCTGGCCTAGTCAGCGACTGGGGCCCCCCAAGGTGAGCCAAGGAGAAGCGAGGTGCTAGTGTGAGGAGTTTGCACCTGAAGACCATGCTGCCCACCCCAATGCAGACGCTGCTGCTTGGAGCTTGGAACCCAGCGCGATGAGCAGCCTGTGGTCTCACGTGACTGCACGGACTGAAGGCCGTGTTGGGGGGTGGGGGCGGAACTCTCTAGGGACTTCCCTGCCTAAAATGCACCACGTTTACTCCTGTAGGGAGACTCCATCTTTGATAGAAGATTCTGGGAGGTGCAGACTCAGTATCTACACTCCAGACCAGCTTGTTGGTTCTAGCTGCATTCTCTCCAAACAGGCTCCTCTTGGTTTGGGTCTTTCTCAGGTCGGGGAAGCAAGGGCTCCTCAGGGTGCTCAGGTGGCCGCAGGAAACCAGCCCTGCAAGGGCATCATCCCAGTGAGTCCCCGTGAACTTGAGCGCCGCTCAGAGTCCCAGTTCGGTGGGGACGTGAAGCTTTGCAGTCAGAGCTGCGTATCAGGTCTCTGAGCCGTAGACCGCCCAGCACACCTGCATCCAGGTGGTCCTGGCCGCCTCCTGGCGACACTGTCAGCTGTCGGAATGTCAGGCCGCCTGTGCCTGTACGCGCGCGTGCACGTGTTTGTAGAGATTGGTGGGCACAGAGGCACCCCCGGCGGAGAAGGCTCAGGCAGGGGAGGGGCCCGTGGCTCACATCTGCCCTTCCTGGTGGTATCAGGTCCTCTAAAGAAAGAAACTAAATTAGCAACAACAAAAACCTACAAAATTACTTTTCGAGAGCAGAGCGCACATACAGTCGATTTGAGATGGTGCAACATTTCACTCCCTTGGGCGCCATCCGGTGTCCAGGTGGGCCTCGCCCCAGACTCGAGCAGCCCCGGGGGTGCAGACCCAGACTGGAGCCAGAGCCGTTGCAGGTCTTCCTTCCGCCGTGCAGCGGGGCGCTTCCAAGACCCTGACTGTCACATGTTTGCTTGCCCAAAACCCTGCCTGCCTTAGGTGACCCCCGTTTCTTAGGGAGTGTCGCTGGGATCTCCTGAGGCCCTGGTCCCCAGCGGAAGCCGAGGGGTGTCCCAGCAGAGCACAGTTTCATGGCGATGCGCTGGCCCACATGGCCTGATGCCTTTCCAGACACCAGTGCATCGTCCCTTCCCTGGCAACGTCCTCGTTTCCTTCTCCTCTTATTTCTCCTTTGAATCTTGTCTTTGAAGTTAAGGAATGGCACCATATTTTTTCTTTGTGTTGCCGTAACTGGACAGAATACAAGCTCAGCCGTGGCGGTTTCTCCTTGTATATCAGGAGCTGTGTTCCATTTCCCCAGAGGGGAAGACAGTTCTCAGTATCCGTGACTCTGTCCCATCTGCTTGTGCGTTCCCGGAAAAGTCTGCAGATTCTCAAGCCTGAGAAGTCCTCCGTGGCCCCACTGGAGTGCTTAGTGATGGGACGTGCCGCCAGGGGTGGGCAGGTGGCATCGTGGACACCTGGCGGGGTCTTCGCTGTGCATCACAGGGAGCTCGCTTCAACTCGGATGCGGGCCAGGTGCCGAGGGCCCTGTCTGCGTATGCTGGATGACGCGGGCGCAGGCTGCTCTGAGGGTTTCCACAAAGTGAGGCAGCTGCTCCGAGACGCCACGTGCCACAGGCTCCCGGGAGCATTTTTTGCAGGCCAGGCTCTTGGCTCAATGACAGGGTTTTCGGAGCTGCTGCAGGAGGGTGGGTGCTATTTTTTAAAGTAACACATAGCATTGTAAGTGTGCCGCCCGTAAACATCATTGGGATCAGTAATGTATACTTACATCGAAAAACAGCCTCGACTCATAGTGATGGTTTGCCATCGTGCGCTTGCTTACTCAAAGGATGCTGGACCGACGTGGCTATGATGCGGTGACGTTTTCTGACACCAGAAGGGGGCAAACCTTCCACTGGCGTGGATGCCGTGCTGGGTGGCCCTCCCGGAGGCTCGTGCTGGAGCGGCGCCTGCTCTGAACACGCCCCGCTGGGCGAGGGCCTTGTCCGGAGGGGCACCGAGACCGAGTACGGAGGCATCTTGCGCGCGGGATGCCGCACTCCGGGCCCCACTCGCAGGGTGAGACGGAGGCACCCTGGCACTGCCCCCACAGGCCACGACGCTCTCCGTCTCTAAATGACGCGCACATGGGGGCCTCTGCCCATCAGGTAAGCCGGGGGCCAGCCTTGTGTGGTGCCCTAGGTCACAGGGGTCAAGACCCACCCGTTGGCTGTGGATTTCAGTGGCGTATGAGTGTCTGCTGAGACCCGCAGGGTTTGTGACTGGCGGGGGCTCGGAGGAGGGACCAGGAACAGAGTGTGCGCTGATCTCACCGCGGTGATTCCCCAGATACGCGTGACGTCCGTGCCTTCTGAAGTGAACTCTCTTTCCATTTTTTCCAGATAACTTGTTCAAGCCCAAAGAAAGGTACATTTCGGAGAAGGAGATGCACATGCGATCTAAAAGGTACCCGGTGACTGCGCGGGGCGGGAGGGAGTCGGGCGGCTTCACGGATCCCCGCGCTGTCTGGCGGGGCCAGTTTCTAGGTCCGCGTTTAAGGTCCTGAGGTCTCCTTGGCCGTGAATTTAAAAAGCTGGCTCACAGAAGTGTGGCTGTCGAATTTTGCCTCTGAATGTTAATGCCATTCTTGGAAAATCCGTCGGAAAGTGGTGGGTCTTGGATGCCGAGCCGATCCAGTAATTGGTCTCCAAGAGATCTCCAGGCTCACAGCAGGGAGGGCATCGCCACCGTCGCTCTGGGCAGGTGCTGCCGGTCCCTGTGCACCCCTGAAGGTACTTTTACGAGCAGGAGAGAAGCTGTTTCTTCGAGAGCCTTGACCGTGGCTAGGCCCGTGGGAAAGAGCCCCAAACTTGGAGGCTGATGGCACATGGGAGCCAGGGAAGGCGCCGAGGGCCACCAGCCTGCCTTTCTGGCACTCGCTCCCCAGCGGGCTGGGCAGCCCGCTGCCAGCAAGCGCGCCCTGCTCTGCTCGGCTGGTTGCTATTCTAGACGCCCGCGAATTCTCACCCACCCGGGGCGCACAAAGGCTGCCATTCTTTCTAGGACCTGGCCTCCTAATCGAAATGGAATAACTCTGCAATGTTGGCCAAGTTCATGCAAGCAAAATGTCATTAATTTATAATAAAGTATCTAGCAGTGGGAAGATTATAATACTTAAACCAAACTGAGGGTGCACTTAGAGCAGCCACGGCAGAAGGGAGAATGCGTTTCTCCCCACTTCAAGCAAAGTCTCAGCTTTTACCATGATTATGTTGTTTCCGTGATAATTAGCCAACTTGGACCCTCTGTAGGAAACCTCTTGGTAAATAAAAATGTGCAAGTGAGGAGAAGGGGGACCGTCCCATTAATGACCTGCTTCATGGCGCTCTAACTGGGCTTTTAAAGCGCCACCGGGTTTTGAGACTTGCTGTTTCAGAAGTGCGAAGTTATGCATACCTCATGCCAAAAGTATTCCCTTTCAATTTAGTGAAAAAATTCAGCCAAATCCTTGCTTCTCAGTCCCCAAACCCAAAGCTGCTATTATGGAGCCTTCCAACTAAAATAATAGATTTCAAAATAGCGTCCATGGACAGAGCGTATCACCCCATCATTTCACTGATGTGGAAACTGAGACTTGGACAGGGCAGGCGAGCTAGGCAATGGCCCCCGCGTCGCTTGCTCCCCGGCCGGAGGCCAGGTCCCCGATGGAGCCAGGCCCCGGTTTCGCTCCGCTCAGTGGGCTGTGCTCTGGGTGGGCTCCGACACCGGCCCGAGGCCGCCCCTGCCCCTAGGGGAGCCCCCCGGGCTTTCTTCTGTGTTCTTCGTTATTAATTATGCTGCTGAATTACATTTTCATTTAAAAAGTTCAAATAATAGAGACGCAGCTAAATTCCCTCATGACCAACTAAGCCTGCCCCACCCCGCTCCCCAGCCCCGGCCCAGCCCCGGAGCCCCCAGCCACCCCTCTGACCTTCCTCTGCCTACAAACAGACTTCTATTTGTACATATAGAATTATCTGACTTTTAACCATGTATGGGATCATACTTTATCTTTCTGAAGCTGCTTTTTTCACTTTTTAACCTGTCTATGAGGTCTTCCTGGGTCAGGAGGTATGGATAGAGATGGTTTAATTCATGGGTTTTAACTTTCTGCAACGTGGTTTATTTTGTAGATGTACCGTAATTTATTTAGGAAGCTCTTTTAAGAAAATGCTGCAGGCCCTGACTGGTGTGACTCAATGGGTTGGGTGTCGTCCCATAAACTGAAAGGTCACAGGTTCCATTCCCAGTCAGGGCACATGCCCAGGTTGCGGGTTTGGTCCCTGGCCGGGCACAGGAGAGGCCGCAGATTGATGTTTCTCTCCCTCTCCCCCTCCCTTCCTTTCCCCCTCTCTAAAAATCAGTAAGCATGTTCGTGGGTGACGATTAAAAAACAAGTACCGCCCCAGGGGCCCCAGGGCTGAGTTGTAGAAATTTTCACCTCGAACTCCCCGTGTGATTCAGACGGCCCGTCTCAGCAAGGTGGGTCCCAGGGATCCGAGGGGCCTTCCACTGGGGAGCTTTACGACGTGCAGGCTTCCTGCAGCCCCTTACAGCCCTGCCTAGAAAGCTCCTGCATGTGTGTTCACTTCTTTATTCCAAGCATATCGATGCCCACGGGGTGCCAGGCACTGTACAGGCAGAAGCATTTCCAGGTCACTCTGTGCTCCATGGCGGGGGGCGGTGTTGCACAGAGCCAAGCAGGCGGAAGTGCGAATCCCAGCTGAGGGCTGCTCCGCGAGCCTCCTGGCCTCGCCAGGCCCGGAGTCCCTCCTCCCGTAACGGCAGGCCCCGGTGCCGCTCCCAACACTGTGAGGGGTAAGTGAGAAAATTCACGTCCGGCGATTTGCCTTGCGCCCCATAACCAAGACGATGTCAGGTGCTGGTCTTGCCAGCGTCGGTATTGTTATCCTCTGTAATTATTACGTTAGCAGTGGAACCTGTTTGACACAATTGGTCTGGCTTTCAAACATGAGAAAACACGAAAAAGAGCTGTTTTAGCCAAGTGCCACATGTGTAGCCACGGAGGAGCTCCGGCTGCAGTGACCACGCTGTGACCATGGATTCTAACAGAGCATCGGTACAGAAACAGTTTTGTTAGGAGTAGGAAGGACGTGTCCAGAAGAGGGGCCCCTGGGGCGCGGCTTGTAATGTGGATGCTCCTGATTTTCCACCAGGACAAACATCCTACATATGCCTGGAATGCACTGGAAGCAGTTTGAGTAGGAAAGCGGTTGGCGAGGAGGCAAACCTCACATGCACGCACACACCTTTCTGTGCGTTATGCCGGCACATACTCTACTTGTTTGCTGCTCCTTTTCTAGGTCACAGGAAGGCAGGCACTGAGTGGCATAAAGGGATTTGGGGACAAGCTGGCTCTCAGAGCAGCAAGCTCCTGGCTGGGAACCCCTGATTTTACAAGGAAGCAGTTAATGACCATGGAGAACGGAGGGACCAGGAAAGTGACTTCTGAAGGCGCAGCAGCCAGCCCTGCATGGCGCTCGCTGGGACCCACGTGTCGGGCTCTGGCTGCCGGGGTAGCCCTGGTCGGGACACGGTCCTGGGAGCCCTGGGCCTCAGCGTCTCAGATTCGAGAAGGCCTGTGAGCAAGGGGAGTCTCCCCTTGCCCTGGAGGCGCCTGCTGACAGGTTGGGACGCAGGTCCATGCAGGCGCGCGCAGTCTTGTTCAAGATTGCTACCTGTCAAAATGTTTTCTGCATCTGTTTCAGAATCTATAACAACTTGCCGGAAGTCAAAAAGAAAAAAGAAGAGCAAAAGAAAAGGCTGATATTACAGAGTAACAGGCTCCGCGCAGAAGTCTTCAAAAAGGTAATGGCCTGGCTGCCAGCAGGGGCGGCGTGTGTGTGGCGCGCAGATGCTGACTCTGAGCTTGACGTCTTTGTCTCCCGCTTCCCCAGCAACTACTGGACCAGCTCCTTCAAAGGAACGCGGTCTGACCCCAGGCCGCCCCGCTGACCCGCCGCCTGGACCTGGGCCGGCCTCAGACGCGGGATAACCCATTAAACCTGGCGTGAGCTACATGGCGTCAAACACTATTTCTACTTTTTGATTTTTTTTTACAAAGGAAAACCTAGCTTCCTGAATGGCTGACCCAAACCAAGCAGACACGGTGATGCCTCAGGAAGCGGGTCAGCAGATGGGGGAGGGGAGCCAGTCACATAACCCGCCAGGTCCCTTCCCTTCTTACTTCTGAATTCTCCCTTTTGCTTCTGATCTCCCCTCCCAGCCGCCCGTTTCCACTTAGGCAGGAAGGCCTCACACACCCACGTGGGCTTAGATCCCTGGGCCTTACTTTTTTCCTTTCCCCATCACATTTCTGGGACCCGGACCCATTGCTCTTACAGTACCAATCCCAGCTTCTGCCAATTCTGCACATCCAGACTGCGTGTCACTGCACCGTGTTTAAAATCCCTCTGGCTGCGCGCACTGCGTGGTCCAGGAGCTGACTGTGGAGGTCCGTGGGTGCGGGCGAGAGCAGGGAGCAAGCCCTCACCGCCCCGCCCGCTCCCCCATCTTCCCCTGTTTAGCAACGGTCTGTTTCCAGGGCCTGCACCCAGGCAGAACCAGCTGAAAATAACTGTAAGCGTCCTCAGTGTGCTCTGCAACCGTCCCCCCCCCCCCCCCGCCCCCCTGCAAAAGAGCTGCCTCGCTCAGGACGGCCCGCTGGCTCCAAGGCGGCCCGCCATGTGTTCTTCCAACATTTACCATCTTTATAAATGTGTGGTTGGGAGCTAAGAACCTACTAGTTTTTATCAAAAATGGAAATAAATGCAATTATTACAAAAATCCAAGCCTTCCTCTGCGATGTGTTTTGCGTTGGGAACTGCGCAGCTCAGCGAGAAATGCTGCGGAGGCTCAGCGAGAAATGCTGCGGAGGCTCAGCGAGGAATGCTGCGGAGGCCCAGCGCAAGGCTCCGCCCTGCTGCTCGCACCCGGGCACTGGCTCGGGCGCCTGTGCCTCCCACGGCCCCGGGGAGAGGGCCGCCTCCCAAGGCGCTGGCACCCGAGAGGCAGGGGTCTGTGCCGATCAAGGCTCAGGATCCTGACCCCAAATCTCACTAGGAGGCTCCCCAGCAAAGAAAAGGAAACTCGGGGACTCCTGTCTCTGGCCCCTGCCCACTGCTGCACATGCAGCCCCCTCTGATAGGCGCCTGTGGGCCTCCCCGACACCTTCCCCTGCCCTGACTGTCCTCCCACGGGAGGGACACATTGGACACGCTGCATCCAAACCTGTGCCATCTGCCCACACGTGACCGTCTCACCGCGTGAACCAGGTGCCGACTGCTTGGCTACGTCCTTAGGATCCAATCAGGAGCGAGAACAGGGAAATTTAATATGCGTAATTATTAGCAAAAATGGGGGATCGGAGTCACGCAGGAGTGGCCGTGAGAAGTAAAGAGAATTGGAAAGCGTGCAGGTGAGAGCGCCCCCATCCGCTGGGCTGCCATCTAGATATCGGGGAAGGGCAGTTCCCGTGGTACCACTGGATAGGACTTGCCGGAAAACCCGCTCTCCGGGATGGAGGCCCTGCTGTGTGGGGGCTGCGGGAGCCGGCGCTGCGGGGCTGCGGGGCTGCGGGAAGCAGCGAGCCCATGCTGCGTGGGCCGGGTCTCCTTTCCAGGAAGCCACGCCCCTTTCCTCCTGCTGTATCTCTCAGCTCCTGGTCCTTTCAGAGCTGAGCGCCCTGCGCAGGCACAGGAAAACCACTCGGAGCTCCCGGATTCATGTTAGCAGAGCAGACAAATAGGATGACTGTGGAGATGAGAGTCGATGAGACCCCACAAGTGGCCCAGCAAGTTCTGTGACCTTGCTGCCCTTCCCTGATTTGTGAAGTGGCGACGCCTAGGGTACCTCCTCCGCAGAGTGGTTGGGGGCTGGAATGACCCGGCGTGAGCTGAGTGCTTAGAAGAAGGCCTGGCCCAGAGCCTGCACTGCCTGAGTGTCCCCGGCCCTGGGCACGCAGGTGCAGAAGGGGGTGTGTCCTCCGGAAGGAAACCTGCGGGGGCCGTGACCCCTCAGCCTGGCGCGGAGAAGGGGAGCCAGGAAGACCCCGAAATTCCTGGGTGTTGCCTCAGCAAAAATCAGTCCCAGAAACAGGGTGCTTTGCAAATCGATTTTGTTTCCTCTCGAGCTCCTCTGTCTTAGAAACACGTTCAACAGCACGGCGAAGCTCGCCCGTCAGGTTAATTCTGGCGTTCTTGAGCCTATCAGGCCTCTTCCCGGGAGTCCCACTAAATGCCCATTTACATTTTTAATAGTTTAATAGTTGAACTACTATTTTTACTTTAATAGTTTGTACATTTTACATTTTTAATACATAAATTTTGCATTTTTACATTTTATATTTTAATAAATAGTTTAACTATTTACATTTTTAATAGTTTAATAGTTGAAAGCATTTTAAATCAAATTGATACCAGTTCAGGAAATCTCTTTCTTAAAGATCCTGCCATACCTTTTTGTCGTTGCTGTTTTTCTTTTTCAGAGAGTTTCAACAGCTTCTCCTACCCAGGAATTGAAAGTCAGGGCCCAACCATTTCTAGGCTATTCTGTGATGCTTTCTAAGAGTTGGATTTCTGTCAGCCAGCGTCTACGTATTTCAGGATGCCTCGCGGGAGCCGCTTGCCCGGGAAGCATTTCTCTCTCTCGCAAACCTGAAGCCAAGTCTGCCATGTCCTAAACTTTAAAGAATAAATAAAAGTCAACTTGAGATTACATGCCACTGAGTAATGAATAATGTATCTCTCTCTCTATTTTTTTTTTACTTTTAAAAAAATGTCACCCATCCTCCCACCTCCTCTCCTCTCTGCCAACCGTCAGCTTGTTCTCTGTATCTGTGGATCTGTTTCTATTTTATTGATTTGTTTTGTTCTTTAGATTCCACAGATTAGTGAGGTCACACGATATTTTTCCTCCTCTGTCTGACTTATTTCACTTAGTGTAATGCCCTCCGGATTCATTCCTGTTGTTGCAAATGGCAAGATTTTATTCTTTTTTACAGCCGAGTAGTATTCCACTGTGTGTGTGTATGTGTGTTTATCACCTGTTTCATCCACTTGTCTATTGATGGGCACCTGGAGTTGCTTCTGTATCTTGACTATTGTAAATAACACGGAAGTGAACATATGGGTGCGTATTCTTTTTGAATTAATGTTTTTATTTTCTTCAGCTAAATACCCAGAAGTGGAATTGCTGGGTCATGCGGTACCTCTATCTGTAATATTTTTAGGAAATCTTCGTACTGTTTGTCATAGCGCCAATCTGCGATCCCGCAATCACCCCATGAGACTTCCCTTTCCGCCCCATCCTTGTCAACACCTGTTATTTGTTGCTTCTTTGATGAAGGCCTGAAGGATGTGTTTCTGAGGACAGCTCTTCACTGAGGGGACTGAGGTGGAAGACGGGAGGAGCAGGTGACATCAGCAGGAACTGCTTTCTCCTCTGAACAGCCAGCCCAGGACAAGGCTGCAAAGGAAAATTTTGGTTCTGCTACAGATATTTTTCCCTATTGCTCTTGTAGCTTTTTGTTGTTTTTTCATTGCTGATGAGTGAATTTTTGATGTCCAGCCTTTTTTTCTGGTACAATGAATCATAACAGAAATCTAATAATGTTATAATAAATATGGCGGTAAAGGCTTGAACTGTAATCCCCATCCCTGTAGCTCTCTCAGGAACTGGTCACCCGTTTGCTGAATCCTCTTATTAAAATCAGACTCTGGGATGAACTTCCAAATTTTGAAATTCTAAGCGGAATTTACCGTTGTAACTCCAGCAATCGAATTCTGTCCTGGAACCGACAGCCTCACACCTGCGTGTGTCTGGGGCCTGGCGCAGAGCCACCCCTCCGTGGCACAGCGGGCAGCAGGAGGCCAAGGTCTGTGGCCGATGCTCGGGGGCTCGGACCAAGCGGCATTTGGGATCGTTTGAAATGGACCTGCAGTAACGGCCCTCGGCTGTCTTCCTGTGGTCTGCATGACCTCATGTCCAGAAATCCCTATTTTGGTCCCTTGTCCTCCCCGCCAGCTGGTAATGGAATAATGGAAAAACAATTGCCTGGGCTTCTCTGCCAGCGTCGATTGCCAGCCACACTTCCTGGAAGCTGCGTGCGCCCCGAGTGAGTCAGCAAATGCTTGCTCAGACGGAGCGAAGCTCTTTGAAAGAACTGTTTGTGAGACAACCAATGGCTGAAGAGCGGTTGAAAGCCTTATTCCTTAAGAAGTTCTCCCATTTCAACACGTGTTGGTGTCAGGACGGCAGGCCGTGGACGGGCTGCTGTCTGGGTCCACTGACCCACGGTCTGAGAACGAGGTGCACCAGACGCGGAATGGCAGGGGGAAGTACATGACACGGCCCCCCAGCGGGTGGGGGGGAGCTCTGGGTTAAATGCCACAGAAAAACGATCCACGGAGCATTTGTGCGAGTGGGCTGGCGTGCACGCTGGGAGCAAAGGGAACGAACGCTCTGTGGGGCCACTCCGACGGGCCCGTCAGCAGGCCGCGGTCCCTTGCAGAGTTCCCTGCGTTTGTGCTTCCGCCAATACTTGGTAATTGCCCACGGATGGCAAGCTCAATTGAAACCTCTGGGAAGTGGCTGTCCCCAAGCAGAGCCAGCCCGGCCGAGGATGAACCACTGAGGGGCGCCAGCCAGCCTTCCCTGTCTGTCCCAGGCTGAGTGGCCATCGGGCGCTTTCTCGAGGAGGGGGGGCTCCCCCTTTCTGCTCACAATCGGGCTGCTGGGCTGGGAGTGGCGGGCCCTCCATGCAAATGTTTTCTGCACATGGAACGAAGCGGCGGCGTTGGCAAGTCTCCCCAGCATGGAGGGTTTCCTCAGTTCCTGCCGGCTGTCTCAGCTCTGATCCCTGGGCCCCAGGAGACTGTCTGAGGCTGTTGTCTGGGGTGTGTGGAGGGGGGAGGCTTGGAAGCCCTTCCATTTTTGTCTTGCTGCTCAGAGAAGGGTTGGACATCCACGTTCTGGATGCTGCTGATACCTGCCAGGTGGCAGCAGGGGACGGAAGCAAGGCTTCAGGCCTGGGCCCTGTCTCGGGTCTTAGCGCATCAGAAACTCAGGGGGCGGGGGGAGCGGGGAGACTTCGCATGCCTCTGGGGTCTTCAGAAGTGCTGGGCGATGCTTATCCAAGCTGAGAAGGGGGGAGAAAGAATTTCTGCTCTGCATTGCAGCTGAGAAAAATGAGGCATTTAAATCATTTTTATGAAACCACCAGCCAGTGAAAGACATAGAGAAGTGTCCTGCTGATGACTGTCCGAGGTTCTTCCCTCGCTCAAGTATCTGCACTTGGGTGACGTGCCCGAAGGCGGGCAGCAGCTGTCACTGAGGCCAGGGGAAAGTCGTCATCACTCCTGCCGCCCACGTCCACAGCACACGACACGTGAGGGCCTTTCAACAAAGCCCGGAGGCTGCCGGCTCGCCTGCCCACTGATGTCAGTGAGAGGGAAATTATAAATCTTTCCTGATGCTGATTTCTACGGAAACGAACCCACGCTGCGCGTTACCTCCTTGGGGCGCCCGCGCGCCGGAGGCGGTTTCACAGGGA